GCCCCGCCTTCCCCCGCCCCGCCCTCCCCGTCACGCCCTCCTAGCCCCGCCCTCCCCGCGCCGGGGGCGGTGCTCCGGCCGCGCGGGACCGGAAGTCGCCTGGCCGAGGCCGAGCCTGCGCCTTCGCAGGACGGCAGCGGGACGAGTCCCCGGCGAGGGGCGCGAGGTGACGGGGGCTGCGGCGTGGGCGGCTGGGGAGCGGCCGCGAGACTTGCGGTCGGCCGGTCCTTGCAGGTGGCACGCGCCGAGCGCCACGGCCTGCCTGCCCTAACGGATTTCTTAGTTTTCCGCTTCCAGTTTTTATTTTTGTCCTGCGTGTCTGCGGCGCGCTATGGTTAGTTCCCCCGAGCTGCTGCACGCGCGTGACCTGACAGCTTCACTCTCCTTTTGTCCTTCGCGCTTTCCTCCGTTCCTTGGTCCCTTTCCGTTTGAAAAATCTAGCTCCCTGCTTCCCCGTGTCTAGCTTTTGTTGTTGCTCCTCATATTTTGGGTTCACATAAAGGAAACGGAGGTACTTAGGCTGGTGTGCTTTACAGCACTTGGCACTATGGTCTCCAGAAGCACACATTTTCCCTACGGGCGTCACAGGTTTATCCTTTTTCACGGCAGAGTGGTGCTCCGCGGTGTAGAAATGCCGCGTGTCCCTGTCCGCCCGTCTGCTGGTGGACGAGCGTGCTGCCTCCAAGATTCGCTCTTGGAATCGCGCCGGGAGCATGCGCGGCGCGCTGCGGTAGCGTAGCTCGGGAAGATGCTAGAAGGACCGCGGGCTTGAACGGAATTTCTGTTTTAGGTTCCTGCGGCCTCTCGTCCGACCCCGCAGCGGGCCGCGCCGGTGCGCGTTCCCAGCCGCAGGGCGAAGGTTCCCCCCGGCCGGCCGCCCGCCCAGCGTTCCGATTCTCCGGCAAGCGCGCCCGGCCGTGTCCTCATCGGCTCGGCTTCCTGCCGCCTCCAGGTCGGTCCGGTTACTTGCCCAGAGTTCACGAAGTGAAAGGTTGCTCAGCAGTGGAACGTACTGCCTGTCTCACTTCCCCTAAATCGCTCAGCGTTTTGGGAGGAAGGCCGCAGAGCGCTTGTGCGGCTCTCCCTGTGCAGCGCCAGGCTTCTTAGGTGAGATGGGCGCTGTTCCCCTCACCCTCTGCTGCCCCTCCCTCCGCGTTCAGCGCGCAAGTAGGCTAAGGGCTGTACGCCGCCGGAGAACTTGCCCAGAGAGCCTGCCTGCCCCTTAAGCAAGTAGTGCGCTTGGATGCGAAAGAAAGCCCCAGTACAGGGCCAGGTTAGCCTGCTGGAGTGTGTGTGCGCGTGTGCGTGTGCGCGCATGCATGTGTTTCTTCCTGTGTTTGACTGACTTGCCTGGGACCACATCACTGAGAAGAAACTGGGGATTGGGCTTCCAGCTACTGGTCCCAGGTCAAAGGCAGAACCAGGAGCTACTTGGTTTTCTGTTTCTGCAGAAAGGCTTAAGGGGAAATGGTTATGGCTTTTCTTTTTTGTATTTTTTAGGGAAGGGTCTACAGGGTGTTCAGGTCTCAATACTAGATCAGACTCGTAGTGATCCGCCTGTCTACAGCCTCCCAAGAGCTGGGATTACAGGTGTGCGCCACCACACCCAGTCTCAAGAAGTGGCTTTTTGAGCCTTCGAGCAAGCTTCTCTTTTGTGGATTTCCACATGTCCTGTGTACCTGCTTGCCGACCTACTCAACACATCAGTGCAAAGACGTTTTGTCAGGGCAAATAGGGGCCACATGTACAGCTTTCTCTCCTGTTTCTAGTATGGTAGGGTTTTTTGTTTTGTCTTTTGGATTTAAAGATAGTAATGGAGCAAAAGAGTGAAGGATATGTGTTTGTAATTCTTTGTTTTTTGTTAGTATTTAGTACAGGATCTACGGGGTGTTACTACACAATTTGGACTTGTAGTGATCCTCCTGTTTTCAGCTTCCCAAGCACTGGGATTACAGGCACAGGCCACCATGCCCAGTCCCAATCAACATCTCAGTGCGCCCCAGGGGTGGGGCCAGCATGGCATGCTAGGGATTGAACCCCAGTCCCTGCAGAACCCTGGTCCCTGTGAACTCTGGTCCCTGTGTCTGCCTAAGCAGGCAGTTAATCCACTGAGCTATCTGGCCAGCCCTGTATAATTCTGTCTTTGTTTTTGTTTTTTTGAGATAGGGTCTCACTATGCAGTTCAGACTGGCTTTGAGCTTACAGTGCAGCCTAAGTTGGCCTCGAACTCTCAGTCATCCCCTCCACAGCCTCCCAAGAGCTGGGATTACAGGCCGGTGCCACCACGCCCAGTCTCAGTCACTGTCTCAGCACAGCCTGGGGGCGGGGCCGGCACAGGGTCTTGCTATGTAGTGCAGGCTAGCCTTGAATTCCCAGAGATCCTCCTGGCTTGGTCTCCTGAGTGCTGGGATCACAGTCGTGAGCCACCATTTCAAGCTTTCTTCTAGATTTTTGAAAAATTCTGTGATAGGTATCAGTGAGTGGGGTTTCATTTTCTTTGATCATTACTGTGATATTAGGAGTAAGGTGTGTATGAAATCAAGATGTTGCAGGTTTGGCGTTTCAGTGCGCACGGGGCCAAGGGTTTCAGGGCGGGTGCCGTTGCCCTCCTAGGCTGTGCTGTGGCGACCTCGTGGAGTTTCAGTTGGGCTAGTGTTGGTAATCTCAGTAATGGTGACAAGTGCGCCTTGAGGAGTGGACCCAGCGATAGTTTAGGTAATTTTGGTTCCCTCACTTCTGGTTCTAGAGGTCAAACCCAGGGGCTTCTCTCTGAGTAATCTTCAGCTCCTTTTCATTTTCATTTTTATTTTGAGGTAGGATCTCACTAAATTGTGCTGGGCTCAAAGTCTGCCTGCCTCAGCCTCCCAGAGCGCTAGGATGACAGGCATGCGCACCATGTCCAGCTATAGAATTTTGGCTTTTAATCCCAAAGCTGGTCATGCAAAAGAAAGCTGCTGCTATGGATAGAATTGTAGGCAAGACAACACCTAGAATGTCACTGTCATCTGGCTTCCTCTCCTGAGTGTGCTGGTTTAGTGATTCATAGATCATATTTCCAGGCACTTCTGAAAGCACTCCCCAAAGGCAGTATTCCTGTCATGACCCAGGGAAAGAGCTCAGGCTTGGCTCCTCCCTCTTCTCCCCCCCCCCCCCCATGCAGTGGTTCCAGCTGAAATGTAGGCTGGACCACAGGTGGGCCGGTGGGCAGGCCTGGGGCAGGGCAGGGCAGAGCAGGGCAGGGCAGGGCTGGTCTGCCTTGAGGAGCTGGGCTGGTCCTTCCCCCTTTCCTTCCCCTTCTCCTCCTCCTTTTCCTCTGCTCTCCCCTCCCCCTCTGGGCCTGGAAGCCGGTCTTTCCAGTTGTTGCAAGAAGGAGGGGGCTCTGTCCTTCCCCTAGAGGGCTTCTGAGCCTGGGCAGGTCCCTCTTTCTACTGCCCTGGGGTAGGAGCGACCTGTTCTCCACTTGTCAGTTCTGTGAGGCATCTGTCTTGGCTCCAGAGGAGGGCAGGTTTGTCTTGGCTTGGGAGGGCGCTGAGAACTCTTGACTCCACATTTGCTTGGGCAGAGGAAGAAGGGGTGTGAGCATATGGACTTCTGAGGGCCGGGATGGTGGGGCAGCCCCAACTGGCTCTCCTTGCCTCCTCTCTTTTCCTCCCTCCATCCCTCTCCTGCCTTCTTCCAGGCCCTGATCTGCATGATGGTTTTTGTTTGTGCAGAAGAGTGTGGGAGCTTGGAGCAGGCCAAAGCCCCCGATCCTCCTGTTGGCAGCTTAGAAATCATCTTTGGGGACACAGTCCAGCCCGGAATTAGGATCAGGCCAGGTACACCCACCCGCTGCCCAGCCACAAGGTCCCTCTGCACCCAGGGAGCTGGAGGACTTTGCTCATGTCCCTCTCGCTGGATCATGCTGAGCAGGACAGGGCAGCCTCTCCAGCTCTGAGTCACAGTTGCTGAGCAAAGGCGGAGTAGGTGGAGGGGCAGCTGGAAGCAGCCTCTGGGTTTCCCGTGAGATGGAAGCATCCCCACCCCATCCAGAGGGCAGGTCCCTGCTTCTCCTCACTCCTGGAAGTTGTGAGCTGGGCTGGGTGCAACTCTTAGGAGTCCTGTCGGGTCCAGAACTTCTGAAAGCAAATGAGATTTTAAGTCAGATCATTGGCTTTGATAAGTTTGATTTATTAAGACCAGGGCACTGGGTCTTAGGAAACATCCTCACCGTGCCTTGGAGTCGCTTTCTCTGCTGCCAGGGCCAGCCAGGCCGAGTCCATGTTGGGGCCTGGTGTTGGTTGCCGCCAGTACCCATGGGCCCACATGTTCTCCAGGCTGACCTTGGGCAGATGGGTGCAACCCTGTGGGCTGCAGTGTGGGCTGTGTGGGGCAGGCTTGTGGGTAAAATGCGCTTGGGCTGCTGCTCTCAAACAGTGCCCTTCCTCCAAGTGTCCCCAGCTGGATGGTCCAGGCATTGTGGTCTCTGGGCGCTGCCACCGGAGTCCTCAGAGTGGGGACGTGGCACAAGGACATTGGCTTTCAGGGGAATCCAGAAGGGTGTGGGCTGCAGGCTGGAGGGCTGTGCAGACCCTGTTGGAAGCCACACTTCGGCTTCAGCACTGCTTCCTCTCTGTAAGTGACAGTGTAAGGGACAGGTGCAGCGGAGCACAGCATGTGTGGTCCCTGCCCTGCCAGCCGCCAACTGGAGAGCAGGGCCAGATGACATGGCCCGGCCTTCTGCCTCTTCCACTGTCCCCATTGGGAGCTGGCAAGGGGAGGCAGGGCCACACTACACACAGGCATTGCCCTCATGGGGCGTCTCCTGCCGCTCCTCGGACACTCCAAGCAGGTTGCAAAGCTCAGCTGAGCTTAGGAAGACCGTGAACCCCTGTAACAGCCCCCGGGGAGAGGCCCGTGTGCCGCTGCGCACATTGTCCCTGACCGAGCGTTGGGGTGCAGCAGCAGGGGCACCATGCTTGTTTAGAGTGATCGATGACAGTATTGATATTGATTGCTTCATGCAAGGGACTGCTGGTCCCCAGTGGCCTTGTGGGACGATTGTTGGGTCCACAGATGCCCCTTCCTTGTGGGACAGCAGAGTAGAAAACTGAGGGGTTCATGCCAGAGGCCATAGGAATCTGTCGATACTTTCTTTTCATGGCCCTGGGAATGGAACCTAGGGTTTTTGCACCGACCCTTTTTTCATTTATTTTGAAACGAGGTCTCACCAAGTCACTGAGTTGGCCAGGCTGGGCTTGAGTTCATAACCCTCTTGCCTCAGCCTCCCTGAGTGCTGGGACCAGAGCTGTGTAGTGCCCCACCCAGCTAACCTGTTGGTGCTTACTTAGGTCTCGGTGGGGGGGTGGGGGGTCTTTCTAGAAGTCTCCGGGGGGCCCTGCTTGAGTGGTTGAGCGTCTGTAGACTTCTTCCTGCTCTGGGAAGAGCGGTCCTGGTGGGTTGGCCTGGCACATGAAGGTAGGGAAGTGGCGAAGGCGTTGTGAGTGTTCTCCTGAGCAGCGGGGTCTCGGCATGGGGATGTGCTCGATGCCACGCTTGGTGGCACTCACGGTCCTGTCCTCATGGGGAGCTGGTGCTCGCGCGCTGCGTCCTGGGTCCTTTCATGCCCTCTCCTCCTCCCGTCCCTGTCTCTCTGTCCCCTTCTCTTCTGCAGAAGATTTGTCTATTTCCCGGCCTCTGCTCTTACATGCTGCTTACACACCTCGGAGATGGCTGTGCCACAGAGGACCCGCTCGAGCCAAGTGCAGGAATTTGGATGCCCGTGGGGCCCTAGTGTTCATGGGAAGCCCAGACCCAGCAAAAGCCTGCGAGGGTTCTCTGAGGATCCCGGAGCACCAACAAGGAGCAAAGCAGAGAAGGTGACTCTGTTGGGGATGTGAACAGGACTCAGAGCCTGCACTTTTCTCTTGGCTTTAGGCAGTTAAGCTCAGACTCCACCTGCACCCTCACAGCCCCTGTGGTTCCCTCCCTGTGTCTGGCCACCGGGCTTGCCACCTGCTGCGTGAAGGCACCATGTGCCTTGCCAGGCGGGGGTGGCGACGGCAGGGCTTCCGCCTGCTGGAGAGGAGTTCGCTGCTGTGGAAGCTCATGGCCGTCATCTTCGCTGCGCTGCTGTTCTGTGAATTCTCAATCTACTACCTCGTGATCTTCCGGTGTCACTGGCCAGAGGTGGCCCCACCTGCTCACAGTGGAGAGCAGGCGCCTGTGCTGAGAGCCATGGTCCTGGCCGACACACACCTGCTCGGGGAGGTGCAAGGCCACTGGCTGGACAAGTTGAGGAGGTGAGGGTCCCAGGACCCCAGGGTGTGCTCGCTCATTCTCCTCTCAGGCTGGGGATTCTCTGCTGCCCTGGACTCTGCTGTGTGTGGGATGCTTTGGGTGCGGGGCTCGTGAGTAGCTCTGTGACTTTGAACAGTGACCGCCCCTGGGCCCCAGCTTTGTGGGTGACGGGGTGAGCCATTGGGATTTTTGTCCCCTGGATGCTGGCAGCTGTATGGCTTTTCCCTGGGGGGACCGCTCTTGGCTCAGCAGCACCAGCTGTTGGTCCCCCAGAGACCCTTGTGTTTGTTTTTGATTGTGGTAAAGTGCACAGTCACGGTGTGCTGTCCTAACCGCTTCTGAGCACCCAGGCACTGTGCCTCACACGCCACGCGCTGTTCTCTCACGTGGCTGCTCCCTGAGGGACCTTTGCCCTGAGTGCTCACCGCACCCTTCTCCCTGCTCTGCTGTTGGCTGCTGTCTTCCTCCTCCCTGCTGGCTCTGGCCACTCTAGTTCCCGTCTCTGCCACTGGCTTATTTCCATTTGCATTGTGTCCCTCAGGTCCCTTCCTGTCCCCATGTATCCAAGGCTGAGTCCACTTGTGCAGGCCACAGTTTCCTTACCCACCCATTAGGGGGCAGTGGGGTGCCCCCCCAGCTACAGGGATGGCAGTGGCAGTGTGTGGTGGGGCCTGTCTTTGCCCTGCGGGCCCTGTGCCAGCCTCTTTTCCCACAGTGGCACCACCTGCCTCTCTGGACATCAGTGTTCTTGCAAGAGGCAGTGGCCCAGGGGCCCTGGGGTGGGGCACTTGGTGTTTGTGGGTGGAGAGATATGTGGTAGAGGGGACCCTGTGTCCTTTACCAAGGTGCCAACCAGAGAAGGCCGAGGAGAGGTAACTCTGTGGCTTCCTACAGGTCCTACAAATTGGCCTTTACTTAGGTCTGACCCCAGGCTGGCCTTGAATTATGATCTGCCTGCTTCAGCCTCCTGAGTGCTGGGGTTAGTGTGCGCTGTTCACTATCTCTTGGGGTCTACCTCAGTTCTGCCCTTTAAGAAGTGCAACTTGGGCTGGGGGTGCAGCCTGGCATACCACACAGAGCCTGGTCCCATCATCAGCACCACAGCCAGGCGCACACACAGGTGTGGGGAGCAGGAGCCTGGCCCGCCGTCTCCCGGGTGTGCAGCACAGCCGGTTTGTGTGCTGACTTTGCCTGCGCTTGGGTTCTGGAGAGGAGTCCAGGCTTCGCGCTGTGGGGCCCAGATCTGAACCTCAGTGCTAGTGGCGTGCTGAGGGGTGCCCTTTGGTACCTCCATTCCCCACATGGAACTGGATTCAGGATGGAAAGGCAGGGTGGGTCACAAACAAAGAGGACAGGGCCAGTCAGCCACCTTCCCAGAGGCTGGGGACACCATGGCCTCCACCTGATGCCCAGTCTCCCATTGCCAGGGAGTGGCAGATGGAGCGAGCATTCCAGACGGCCCTGTGGGTGCTTCAGCCCGAAGTCATCTTCATTCTGGGCGACATCTTTGATGAGGGAAAGTGGAGCTCACCACAGGTAGGACCTGCCCCAGGCACTCTGGCAGGGAGGCTACCAGGGTGCTCAAAACAGATGGCCTGAAAGGAGTTGTCACAGTGACGCGCATACCGCCAAGCGCACCCCACACCGACTCCCTCTGCCTCGAACATGCTGACCCGATCAGAAATACAGCCAGTGCTGCTGTGTGCCATCCGGCAGGAAGGCTGCTCAGAAATGCATGGTGGCGGGCCTCACCCACTTCATTTACCAGATAGGCACTGTGCCACTCTGGCCCTTCCCCGAGGTCAGGACGTTTGGGATGGGCCCAGGATACGGAGCAGCTAGGACTGCAACTAAAGAACTCAGGACGGAGGACTCCAGTGCTGTTTCAGAAAGTGGTAAAGATGATGGGATAGGTGTGTATGGAGCATGGGGGAGAATTTGAAGGAGATTCATGGCATTGTCTTTTACCATAGTAAATATTGTAGAATTTATTTATTTTTGATTTTTTGAGATGGTCTCACTATGTTGTTCAAGCTGGCTTGAATTCACTGTGTAGCTCAGGCTGGCCTTGAACTCACCGCGACCCTCCAGCCGCAGCCTCCTGAGTGCTGGGATTACAGGCGTGCGCCGCTGCCCCACAACACCATAGTTTGAACCCTCACTGCACTGCCGATCACAGCTCGTGTAGTGGCTCTCGTTGCAGGGTTGGTTTAGAGTATACTGCTATTAAAGGGTGGTGTCTGAGGCTCATCTTACATGCGGCTGTGTGATCTTGTGGGAAGTAGCGGGTCGGCCAGAAAAGTGGAGTCCTGGGGCCCTGCAGGAAAGGGCAGGACAGGCAAGGTGGTGCAGGGTCAGCCACGGCCAGGCTGGGAGTCTAACTTTGCACAGCTGGTTTTCCTGCACTGTGGGATCCTGGCCTCGCATTGGTGGGCAACGCCGGGCCGCCTCACTCCCACCCACACTCCACTGTAGGCCCTGGGGCTCAGACCCTCGCCTCTCCCCTCTGATTTTTTTCCCTCTGAGTAGAGGTGCAGAGGGAGGTTCCTTGGTGGTCTGGGAGCTTGAGGCCCTAGCCTTGGCGGTGGGGTGGGGGAGCCCCTCATAAACCAAGGAGAAAGACTAAGATTGCCTCCCCACAGCTGTCAGAACACTGCCAGCTTCAGCCTTGGAGTGGTCCTTGTTGCTGAGTTTAAAATGCTTCCTCACCGTGGTTCTTGGGAGGGATTTGATTTGGGAGTATTTTAAAGAATCCGTTGGCACTTCCTGGGATGCCCTAGAGGCAACGCAGTGGTTTCGGTTCAGTTATGCTAGGGACCCACTGCTTAGGGACCTGCAAGGGCTGCTACAATACCGGATCTAAAAGGCAAGATCATGAAATGCTTTCGGTAGAGAGTAGCTAGTCATACAATGAAGTTGGGTCGTTTTGGCAAATTACACAGTGTCTTAAATTCAGGGTAGCATGTTGTGATTTTCTAAGCAGTTACTCTGATTTTGTTATTCTGACTTTAGGTAGTAATTGTTAAGGTGAAGTGTTTGCCACTGAGATACTTCCTAGGCTGCACTGTATTTAAAGTTTCTGGGATAAAGGTGATTACTCTCCGGAATAGAGGGTTATTTTTTGTCTAGCTTGAGGTCTTGGTCCAGTTGAAGCTTGGAGGTCTGTAAGAAAAAGAACTGCGCAGCCCTGACCCGAAGCACAAGTGAAGGCCGGGTCAGGAAAGTGGTGGGGCGGTCATATGATGCATGAGGCCTCCTGCACACTGGCACTGCGTGGCAGCCACCCCGTGGTGGCTTTGGCTGCAGTGGCCTGAGGCTGTTGCTTATTTCGACATGGGGAGTATTTATTCCACATCTCCTAAGACTGTTCTGTAGGAGGTCCAGAGCCAAAGCAGCCCACAACCCAGGCCTCTGTCTTGAGATCTTGAAATAGCTAAGTCCAGGAACAAAGAACCTTGGGAAATTTCCAGTTAAAAAATGTTACAAAATGGAGGTGGGTACATTGAACTAAAATGTGGCACCAAATTGAATAGTTTAAGGTATTACATTGAAAGTATTCAGGTAGTCTTAGAAAAAAATATTACATAGGATTAAAAATCTGCAGTTCGGCATTAGCTTTATGAACATCTGATTTGGACTTCTTATATGAAAGCAGGATGTTTTTCTTTTCTCCCTCCCTTCTTCGCCTCCTATCTTCTTTATTTTCATAGCCCTGGATGCCATTTTTGCCCTGGGCTTTATCCCCAGCTCTTTAGTTTTGTTTTGAGGCAGGACCTTGCTAAATTGCCAAGTTGCCCATGCTTGTTCTCACTTCGCCTCTCCTGCCTCAGCCTCCCAGAGTGCTGTGCAGAGGTGCGCCCCACCTTGCCGGCGAGGTCTGGGTGCTGAGCACAGCGTGGTACCCTTCTGGCTCTCACGGCCTCTCTCCCTCAGGCGTGGGCGGATGACCTGGGGCGGTTTCAGAAGATGTTCAGACACCCCTCGCATATGCAGCTGAAGGTCGTGGCCGGCAACCACGACATCGGCTTCCACTACTGGTGAGTACTTCTGGCGGCCGCTGCCCCAGAGCTCTCCTTGGCTGTCATTTAAACCTGCCAAGATTAGGGAAGTCCAGTTTTAGAGATTAATTTATTTGCTTTGTGGCATGGCCCAGGCTGGCATGAAGCCTGCTTCCCTGCAGGGAAGAGGAGGGCGGCAGTGGCTGGGCTGCGTGCTCCCCGGGGGTGAGGGTCTGGCCTGGCATGGCAGTGCGCCCTGGGCAGGATCCGCTGCACACATGTGCTCCTGGGAACTGGCAGCTCTGGGTGCTTGGGGAGACCAGGGATTGCGAGGCCCACAGGCATGGCCGCGTGCCTCTGCCCCCCACTCTGCTTCTGTGCAGTGCCTCAGTTTACCCTCGCTTTGGTCATCGCTGCTGCTGCTTGTTGTTGTTGTTATTGGCCCTGGAGGTTGAGCCCGTGCATTTTGCACTGAGCTACATACCCAGCCCTTTTTATTTTTTATCTTGAGATAGGATCTTGCTAAGTAGCCACATTAGGCTTGTACCTGCAGTCCTCCTGCCTCAGCCTCCTAGAGTGCTGGGACGTGGGTGTGTGCCCCATACTCTGCTTCAGTTGTATGATTTTACTCACTTTCCGAGGGCCGACACAGGGGCCCTGGGTGCTAGGTGACCCCCAGCCCCTGCAGGTTCCTGGACAGCTTGGGGGTGCATGTGAGCCTCTTAGCCAGGGCCAGGGCCACTCTGAACTAGTGCCCCCGAATGACACGCGGTCTGAGAGTCACGCCTGCGGGCCTTTCTGAGTGATACTTCTTTTGGCCTTTGAATGCAGGATGAGCAGTTACACAGTACAGCGGTTTGAGAAAGCCTTCAGCGCGGAGAGGCTGTTTTCTCAGAAGGGAGTGAAGTGAGTCTGGCCTGCAGTCCGAGGGGTGTCCTGGAGCCACACCCCTCCTGCTGCCTTGCGGTGCTGCCCTGTGGGCTGTGCTGTACTCTGCCCTGGCACCCAGGACATGGGGCTGGGCTGGCCCAGCCTTGGTTTCTTCTGCTGTGACCTCTGGGCACAAGTGTAGAGACTCGGGCCGTGCCTGGGACCACGCCCGAGCCCGCCCGCACTGCCCAGTGCTGTGCCTTTCCCCGCCTGCCTCGCAAAGGCTTGTTCATGGTGGTGTTTTGGTGTTTTTGAAATGGAGTCCCATTTACATGCACAGGCTGGCCTCCAAGTGATCCTTCTGCTTCAGCCTCCTCAGTAGCCAGGCCTGTGCGCAGCTCGAAGCATCTTTTTACTTGATCAGATTTCCTTACTTCACAAAGGCTGTTCCCATGGCTACAGTACCCTGGCTGCCTCTGCCCCCCGCCCACCCTTTGCCATCAGCCCTGACCAGCAGACCAGAGTTGTGGGTCTCCTGCTTGGCTGCTGGCTCGGGTGGAGGGTGGTCCAGGGGTTTTCTGTGCCATCCTCAGGGGCACAGCAGTTCGCTGTTACTGGGTCAAAGTTCTTAGAGGAGCCCTGTCCCCACCCACTGCCGTGGAGCCTCTTAGGACTTCCTTTCCCTGTGCTGCGCCACTGTGGCGACAGGATGCCCTTTTGAGTGATTCCCAGCCGCAGTGTGTTAGGAGCCTCTGACAGGCTCCTTGCTCCTGATCTCTAGCAGTCAGGGTCCCGCAGTCTCCAGCCAGGTCCAGCCTGCTGACGCCCAGGGAGGAGCTTACGGAGCAGATGATACCTGGCCTCAAGGCCCAGCCTAGGGCCACCTGGCCCACTGCCTCACTGCGGGGTGCCCTGCTCCTCGTGTCCATCCTGCCAGTCGCCTCCAGGAGCGGAGCGAGGCTGGAGGGCAGGCTGGTCCTGGCCATCTGTGGCGTAGACGTGTGCCCTCCACAGCACAGCCAGGCTGGCAGTGGAGGTGCCCAGGCCCAGCTCGGCCAGTGCCCAGCCGGGCTGGGTGCGTGATGCCCTCACGGCGGGCGTGGCTCTCGGGGCTGCATCCCACCTGCAGCCCCGTGTCCTCTGGCCCTTGCTCCCAGCTTTGTGATGGTGAACAGCGTGGCCATGGAGGGTGACAGCTGCAGCATCTGTGCGGTGGCTGAGGCCGAGCTCCTGGAGATCTCGCGCCTCCTGAACTGTTCCCGAGAGGTAGGGGCACTAGGGACCCCAAACCCTCTGTGCAGAGCCTGCCTGCCTCGCCTGGCCCCAGGCCTGTGTGACGCCAGCTCTGCCTACAGGTGCGGGGCTCCGGCCCGTGTGGAGCAGGGCAGCGGCTGCCCCCATCGGCCCCCGTCCTGCTGCAGGTGAGCCGGTGGGATGCGGGGTGCCCTCCGCGGCCAGAGCAGCCTCTGACCCTGCCGCCTGCAGCACTACCCGCTGTACCGCGCCAGCGATGCCAACTGCTCGGGACCAGATGCAGCCCCGCCTGAGGAGAGGAGCATCCCCTTCAAGGAGAGATACGATGCGCTTTCCCAGGAGGCCTCACAGAAGGTACGGGCTCCATGGCGCAGCCACCCAGGCAGGGACAGGGTGGACACGGTGTGCAGGCCATGCACAGGCTGGGGTCCCGTCAGGGCCGGGGGGCTGTGTTCCTTCACATTTTCAGTAGGTCTGCTTTTCCTGATCTCAGGTTAGTAATGTTCTCTGCTCATCCTTGCATTCAGAAAACGCCCAGCAGTTGGGCATGCGGGTTGCACGCCTGTAACCCCAGCACTCGAGGGGCTGAGGCAGTCCCGAGTGGGAGCCCAGGTAGGACAACATAGTGAGGCTCTGGGTCAGACTGAAAAATAAAAGGTGGGAGGCAGCTCAGTGTGTAGACTGGGTTCCATCTTCAGTTCTGGGGAAAACAAATAATACTTCCCATCAACATGAATAGATTTAGAAATATAAATGGACCTGAGAGTCCAGTTTTTTTGTGTGTGTGGTACCAGGGATTGAACTCAGGACCCTGTGCTTGCCAGGCAGGTGCTTATTCTACTGAGCTATCTACCCGGTCTGAGAATACAGTTTTTAGGGACTTAAATAAAATGTGCTTTCTTGGAAAATGCATATTTAGTGTATACATAATATATCACATATATATGAAAAATGAAAATTATATATAAATCAAATATTAGTTTATATTTGAAATACATTTGTGGACTATATTTAAAATAAGTTTTTAAAAAGTGTTTATAAAAATAAAATATGATAAACATAAAATCTGAGATTGGAAGAGTAGACTGTAGTAAAATAGGATTTTGAGGGGAAAAAATTGGCCAGGGGCATGACTTGCAGCCAGTGACGCCTGCCTGGTCACCCCCGCGCTGCCTGCTTGCCGCCCGTGTCCTCCTCACCCCGCCCCCATGCCGACCCCCCTCCTGTGCCCAACATGCCCAGCTGCTCTGGTGGTTCCGGCCGCGCCTGGTGCTGAGTGGCCACACGCACAGTGCCTGTGAGGTGCTCCACAGTGGGAGGATCCGCGAGCTTAGTGTCCCGTCCTTCAGCTGGAGGAACAGAAACAACCCCAGCTTTGTCATGGTAACTACCACGGCCTTTATTATAGTCATGAGCTTTTACATCGTGACCTCCACCACTGAGCAGGCTGTCTGCACCCAGGAGCCGCCCCACCCACGGGTGCTCCCTTCCTGGGAAGGGGTCCGGGTCCCACAATGGAAGGAGACAGGCTGCCACGCTGGCTCCTCCGTCTCTGTGACACTTTGTGCTGCTCTGCCACGTGTCCCCTACCGTGTGATGGGACCCGCCGGCTGGGGTGCCATCCTGTGGGCCTCTAGCTTAGACTGTCCGGTCCTCTCTCCCAGGCCAGCCTGACATCGCATGACTATGCCCTCTCCAAGTGCTTCCTCCCTCAGGAGGACACTGTCCTGGCCACCTACTGTGGGGTGGCAGGGCTCCTCGCCGCCTTTGGCCTGGCTCACGCGGGCCGCTGGGCCCTGCCCTTCCTCTCTGGCTGGACGGCGCTCAGGACGCACAGGGCCAGGTGAGGAGCGGTGGTGGCCCTGCTGCTGCTGGACATCAGGGCCCACACCCCGCTCGAGTCGTGACGGCAGAGCTGGAAAACTGAACACGTTCTACAAGGCGTCAGTTCTGTCCTTTCAGCAGACACACGGGTAATCTGGCGGCTCTGCAGAGGACGCGAAGCTGCCCGTAGCAGCCTGCCCAGGTGCGCGGACTGGCTCGGCTGTGTCCCACTGTGCCCAGCCACGCTAATCTGCTGAAGTCGGGCTTCTAGACACACGGACTTCTCTTCTTCAGGAGACTGGGATGTTCCACCCAAACCTCACGGCTGTCAGAGACCAGACTTAAAAGAAAAGACTTGGACATGGTTTTGGGTATTTAAAAATAACTTGCAGTAATTTAAACCAGATAAACTGTATTGTTGTTTTTCTCCCCTAAGAGTGCGGCTCTTGTTTGTAACCTCGCTTTGACTGACTTGCTCGGCGCTCTGGGCCTCGTGCACGCCCAGAAAGCTCTGCTGCAGAGCCGCCCTGTCAGGGTGCTTCAGTGAGAGGGGCGGATGAGCCAGATGGCGGCGTCATGCTTCTGTCTCTTGGTGGCGGTGTGTTTCTTCAGTTCCTGTGCTGCCTGGACAGATCTGGGAGAAGTGGATGTCCCTTTCCGTCCGTGCCTGCCCCAGGCCAACCAGGGAGTCCAGCACCAAGGCGGGGAGGCAGCCCTCGGGCTTGGGTGGGGCTGCTGTGGCCTTCCTGGAGAAGCAGCTTTTAAATCTGAGTGAGCTCATAAAGGACTAGGAAGCTCCGACTAGTGGACTTGTGGAGTCAGCTCTGAAATAGGTGAACAGGACGTGAAGGGGAACTGACGCAGTCCTGCGGCTGCTGCCGCTCTGGCTTTGTATAGGTGAAGTGACACTGGGCATCGTCACAGATGCCCGCAGGCGAAGCAGATCCCGCCCACCTGGGCCCGAGGTGGCAGCCAGCCTCAGTTCTGTGGCTCTTGAGGCTGCATGTGCTAATCTCTGGGGAGGGCAAAGTAGCCATAGGCTGTCTTGTGTTTCAGAGAAGGGCTTGGTGGGCCAGGCCGCAGCTCGGGCAGGTCACCTGCCTGGTATGTGTGAGGCGCTGGGTGCCACCCAAGCACCCTCAACACGATGCACCCTCACCCTCGCAGAAGGGCTCTGTGAGGTTTCTGCAGGGAAGGCGGGTGGAGCCGCCCTCCTCTTCCTCCTCGGCCTTCCGCAATAAGCATTCTTCCACAGTGGGGCTGCTTGCTTGTACCTGCCCGGAAACTGACCGGATCTGCAGTCAGCAGTGACCCAGGGGGCCGGGGAAAATGTCCCCCACTCCCTGCAGCAGAGGGGTGCAGTCTGCATCCTGCATCTGAGCTTGGAGTCTCACTTGAAGGACATGGAGCAGGGCTGTGGCAGGTAGTCACGGATCCTTTTTTTTTTTTCTTTGAGACAGGGTCTCTTGGTGTAGTGTGGGCTGGCCTTGAACTTCTGCCTCAGCCTCCCAAGCGCTGGGATTACAGGCGGGTGCCGCCATGCCTGGCTGTGTGTAGGAGTATTTTATAGTGCCAGCCTAATAAAACCGACGCACATCCCATGAATGCTGCTCTTCCTCCTTCTGCAGTAAGCAGCAGGCCACATCGACGCGGGCCTGTTCAGCACAACGGGGCACACTTCCCTCACAGGTATAGCTACCGTCCAGGCACAAAAACCAAGTTTTGTTGGGTAGTGATACAAAAGAAGATTACATTTTGTGATCTGTATGTACAGTATAATAAACCGGTACTAAACCAACAATGACAAGAATATGGGAGACTGCATCCAAGTGAGGGAAAGCATAGGGTTGTTTTAGACAGGAGAAGCTCTCTGGTAGTGAATGTGGCGGCTGTCTGCCCAGGACCCTGCTCTGCCACTTGGGCTGCCCCAAGGCCTGGCCAGGGGTGATGGGAGGGCAGCCACCAGTCAGCCTGTAGCTTCGTCACGGGAAAGCTAAAAGGTTCCCATCTACTGAGTTCTCCGAGATGAGTTGTCACCAGTTAGTGAGTCAGAGGGGTCTGCACAGGAGAGATGTCACCGTGGTGCCACCCAGGGGCCAGGGTCTGCAGTGACAGGGTGGGGTGGGTGGGGAGGCTGTGTTTAAGTGGAAACAAAGCTACAGAACCAAACCCGGGGAAACAGAGGTAGCCAGAGGCTTGGTGGTCACGCACAGGCGCACCCAGGACAGGACAGACAGCAGTCAGGCAACACTGGACACTACAAACTACCACGGCTTGGGGCACACTTATCAAAGTCCTGGGGACGCCCACCTCCGGGCCAGGTCAGGTGGGCGGGTGGCGCCGCCCTCACAAGAGCTCGTACTGCTTGAGGTGCATGCGCTGGATGATGTCACGACAGTCATTGAAGACGCGGCGGATGTTCTCTGTGTCCACGGCGCAGGTGAAGTGGGGGTAGCAGTAGTGCTTGCCGTCACCAGTTGCTGTGCTGATCCTCTGCAAGAGGGGTCTGTATGAGACCGTGTGGCTCCTGGGCATGGGGGTGCCGGGACCATCTCCCAGGCCTCAAGGGGTGGGTGTGGGTTGCTGCACACGGGGCTTGCGCGGGGGCCTTGGCACCCTCAATCCTGAGATGGCCACTTCGTCACGTGAAGATTAGTACAGCACCCTTCTGGATGTGGCCTGGGGTCTGTCTGGGCCCTGCCCTTCCCCCTCTGCTGCTGCTCCCTGCTATTTCCTGGCTGCCAAAAGCTAAGCACCCAGCCCACCATGGACTGGGTTCCCTGAAACTGTGAACCAGATAACCCCCCTCTAAGCTGTGGGTGTTGGGGTTGTGTCCCCGAGGCTGGAGTGCTGGCCAGTCCATACTGGGACAATGTGGAGCTCGTCTGTGTCCATGGGCCCAGCGCTGCAAGATGGCGATGCTCAGGGCTCCCGGAAGTGCCCAGCCCAGTGAGGCGGGACAGAACCGGCATCAGAGCCAGCACTACCCTGCCCCTGCCTGCCGGCCAGCACAGGCGTCCACTGCCGGCAGAGGACACAGGCATGGGTTCTGTTTACTTAGTTTTCACGGACTTGATTTTAGTACCCATGTGTGACAGGGCCTGATGGTGCAGCCTGGCCACGTGGGGGGCCCTGGGCGCTCCCCCAGGGAGTGGGGACACCCTGGTGACACAGAGCAAAATGCCTGTCATCAGCAGTTCTGGAGTGCAGGGCTGAGCCCTGTCCGTCCATTCTGTGTGAGGACCTCTCAGAGCCACAGGGGTGGGAGCAGGAAGCCAGCAGGGCTGCAGAGGCCGGGGTCTGCCTGGCCACACTGTGTCCCTGGCCAGGTCCTGTGCTGAGCCCTAGCCCTAGGCCCATGATGGGACGATCTTCGGAGAGAGAAAGAAGGTAGGAGGTGGTCACTGTGGCAGGGCTAATCCAGCGTGGCTGTCCATGCAGGAAGGGGAGACCAGCACTCAGGCCTGCGGGGGTGACGGCAGCGACCCTGCTCAGCAGGGCAGAGGCTGCAGTGGGGCATTTATTCTCTCTGCCTGAGCTCACACGCTAGGCTGTGGGGGGTCGTGCGGCACTGTCCTTGGGCACCACAAGATTGCTGGGTCCCTGGCTCTACAAGCGCCTGTCACCATGGTCTTGGCTACTGCTAGAAGACTGTTTTCACCTGTTCCTTACCCTGTGTGCCAAATGCTCACTTGGGTGTGAGGGCTGCGACACAGAGCTGATTCCTGTCGTTACAGGAACCAGCTGTCCCTGCCTGGGGCCACACAGACTCGGGATGGGTCCTGTGCCCAGACGCTCGCTGTAGTCTGCTGACTCCCTTTCCTGTCTTGTGTGACACTGGCCATTGCCTACGGGTGCACCTGATTTGTGCACTGATGTTCCCCAGAGGTGACAGAACGGGACCGGCAGAGGGGCCGCCGCGCCAGCCCTGGGCGATGGGTCACCAGGCGGCTGCTGCCCAGGCCCCAGGGCCTCTCCGGAGGTGATGCCCAGGTTCTTAGGTGAGCTCTGACATATAAGGCGGACACCCTGGACAGAAAGGCGGTCTGAAGCTGCAAGCTGTGTGATCCCGGGGGCTGATCTCAGTTCTCGGAACCCTGGTGTGCTGCTCACGAGTGTGGGGCTCCCAGCGGTGGTGAAGACTTGGAGACCAGCAAAAGCTAAGTCATGGGCAAGTTTCAGTGAACACAACACTAAGGTAGCAGAACAAAAGGTTAACCAAACTGCTCACCAGAAACAGGTCCCGGATAAAGAACTTGGCTCTGGTAACCTTGGGGTCTTCTCCTGCATCTGGTGTTGCTGTGGAAATAAAAAATGAAGTTTCGTGTAAGTGGTGGAACACTAAGGTGTGGCTGGACAGAAGCAGGAATGGCTCAGAGCCTGTGGGCCTGTGCTGGTCTCAGCCTCTGACACGCGGCAGTCTGGATGGGACGCTGCAGGAGTGCCAGTGGGGGTAGAACATCCTGAAAGAGGCTTGGGGAGGTCTTGAGAGCTGGTGGGTGGCCCAACGTGGGAGCAAGGGCTGTGTGCTGCTGCGCTCACTGCCCAGCCTTCAGTGCTCCATCCGCAGGGCCTGGCTTCCTGGGGTCACCTCTGCCAGCTTTGCCAGTGGGGGGGATGAAACAGTGCCAGCCAGGGTCACAGGGCGAGGCCACCGCAGCCCCCTTCCTGTGCCACGCAGCACGACGGGGATGTCAGATGAGCCCCCGTGGGTGGATGTACAGAGGACACCTTTCCATGCCAGGGCGGCCTTCACCGGAGAATCTGGGAGCTCCAGACTCTGACCTTGAGCCAGGCCTGGAAAACCCCATACCTGACTCGGTGTGAGGCACAGTGAGGGTGCAGGTGTGCTGCAAATGTCAGCTTGGGGCCGAATGCGAAGGTGTGTGTGGAGGAAGGGAGACTTTCGCGTTCAGGGACCTCACTCTCCGCGCAGGTGTCCAGGTCCTGACTCGACACTGGCCATGGCCTACGGGTGCTGCCTGGGTTGCCATGGGCAGCGGAGGACCCAAGCCGGCCAGGCTCCTTGGGGTGGGGTCTCACCGTCTTCAGGAACGGTGTAGTTTGCATACTCGGGGAAATAGTCTTCGATCTTCGATTTCCCCGCCAGGACCTTCTCCGCCAGCATATCCTGCTTGTTCAGGAACAAGATGATAGAGATGGTACGCAGCCACCTGCAGGGAGTGACAGACACATTTCACACCGGAATGTAGGCCGCCCTGCCCGCCAGCTGCCCAGGGCAGGGCCAGGCTTGGGTCTGGGGCACCAGGGCTTGCCCTGCATCCGGGCGATGGCAGATGTGGGTCACCACTGAGTCCACCAGCTCCTCCTCCTTCAACACCACTGGGCCGGGAGCTTCCGGGTGACCGAGCAAGCCCCATACCTGCATGCACTTGGCATTGCACGGTCTCCAGAGAAGTGACAGCGTTAACCTGGAGCCACAGGGGGACACACCCACCCCCAGCAGGTCTGCTCCTGACAGAGGCTGGAGACAATAGCCAGATGTGACAGGGGCAGGGAGGTGGCTTGGGGACAGTGGTAGGAAGTCATCCGTGTATGCTCTGCTCCCGACACTGGCAGCGGGCATGGGCCTGGAGTGCCCTGGGTAGGTGAGCAGGGCCTGGGAGCCTTCACTTCCCAGGGCCCTGCGCAAGCCTCAGCCACAGTGCCAGCCACTGCCCTGAGCAGAAAGAGCAGCAGTTTGTTCTACTTATCGAATCTATAATCTTGGCAAAAGATCAGTTTCTATAACCTTTAAGATTGATTACTTCAGGGGGCCTGCCCCTTAGCTCAGTTCTTTAAGTGGCTGCTTCAACAAAGCAGTCAGGCTCAGGTTGCTGTGGTTCGATCCCCACAACACAAGATAGCCAGTCATGCCTTGAAGGCATTCGGCGCAAAAAAAAAAAAAAAAAAAAAAAGATTGATTACTTCAGTTACAGTGAGGTCATAATTTATAGCTGGGCACAGTGGTGCATGTAATGCCAACTACTTGGGAGACTGAGACAGGATGATCAGTATTTTTTAAAATGTATTTAGGACAGGGTCTACAGGGTCTCACTACATAGATTGGACTCGTAGTGATTCTCCCGTTTTCAGCCTCCCAAGCGCTGCGATTACATGCGTGTGCCACCATGCCCAGTCTCAGGTGCCATCTCTGTGCACCCTGGGGGCAGGGCCGGCACGGCAGGCCCAGGGATCAAACCCTGGCCGCTGCACTCTGCCTAAGCAGGCGATTTAGTCCGCTGATCTATCTGGCCGGCCCTATAATGATCAGAAGTTTCAGGCAGCCTGGGAAGGTCAATGAGACTCCATTTCAAAAGCAAATGTTAAAGAAAGCCTGGTGACGTAGCTCTGTGGTAGAGCGCCGCCCTGACACTCGAGGGGCTATGGGTTCAATTATAGTACCATCTTCCCAAAAGATTACAACCTTAAATCATACAAAAACATATAGAAAATAGCCAAGTGTAGTTATATCCAGAGATGACCAGGGACCACGACTCTCTGAGCTTTTAGGCTGGGGGGTCTTGTTCCTTGCATTGGGATGTGGGGGCCGAAGCCAGGTCCTCGCGGGTGCTAGGCCAGCAAGGCGAGTGGGTGTGCCACGTGGAGAAAAACACAGCAGTGAGCCCTGCTAGAAAAAGGTCTGGAACCTTTGAGTGTGTGTGTGACACTGGGGCTGGAATCCAGGGGTAGCCTAAGACTGAGCTACATCTCCAGTCTTTTTAAAAAAAATTCTGAGCCAGGATCTCGCCAGCTTGTTCACCCTGGGCTCACACTCGGAGTCTCCCTGCCTCAGCCTCCCAAGTAGCGGGGATTAGCCATGTGTCGCCGTGCCGGGCTTCGCCTTCTGTGACCCCGCAGCTGGCGAGCAGCCCTCCCTCACCTGTTGTTCCAGATGCTCTCGAAGAGGTCCAGCGACTCCCGCAGGCGGTTGGTGTTGTTGTCCTCCCGGATGACCATGTTGTAGCTACTGCAGGCCGCGACGTAGATGATGGCGGTGACGTCTTCAGGGAGAGAGGGGGGTGGTGAGCAGACGCACCCACCCGGGGCCAGGGGCTGTGAGCCGAAGGGGGCGTCCCAGACTCGCCGCAGTGGGGCTCGTCAGTTTTCCGCTCAGCGGTTCCCAGCAGGGCACCGGCGCACGCACCCTCCCGGGCCTCACCGTTGAAGCACTGGATCCACTTCCGCCGCTCGTCGCGCTGTCCACCCACGTCGAACATGCTGCGGAGGAGCGGGGCCTCGCTGGGGCTCAGGCCACGCCGCGCCACGCCGCGCCACGCCACGCCACGCCACGTGTGGCCCCAGCCTTGCCACCCCCCCCCCACTGCGGCTGTAGGGAGGGAAGGCTCGGCGTGGAAGCCGCACTGTGGGCCGGAGGGAGCCGGCCGTTTGCACGGAACGTGGTGTCCTGCTTGGCCGTGGGGGCGCACGGAGCCCCACTGTGAAGGTGCCTGGCTCTCTCGCCCTGGAGCAGGGAGGCACGGCCCCCTCGCCATCCCTGGTCCTCTGGGCCCCCTTCAGGGGTCTCTGCCCCCCACCCCAGCAGCTGCAGGCAGGCCCTGGGCTTGGAGCCTGTGCGGTCCCACAGCCAGGGCCTGTGTTCCTAGTCCACACAGGGCTGGGGTGTTGCCTTAGTCATGTTCCTGGGAAGCTCTGGGCCCCTGCTGCAGGGGGATCCCTCACCAGACAGAGAAGACAACCCAGTTCAGGGCTGCACATTCTGACGGCAGCGCTGTGCTGGGTTCTCAGGACACCTGGGAGTGGGTGCCACTGGGACGGCACTCAGAACACACATGGGTCTGCTCAGCCCCGGCAGAGGCCAGGGCTCGGGGGATGGTACATGCAAAGGCCCTGGGCAGAGGCACAGCAAACTTGGAGGACACGGCCTGGCCCTGGGGGGAGACAGGTGGAGTGCAGGGGTGCCTGGGTCACAGGGCTGAGGGCAGAGGGCAACAGGATGTGATGTGGGTGATGCCGGCTGACCCCTGCATGGCTGGGTAGGAGCCCTGGGGACCAGGGTGTGGCTGGGTGGCTGGGCAGGCAGGCCAGAGGCTCTTGCATTGAGAATAGTCCTCCTCCAAGGGGAGGAGGTGAGATGGGCAGCTCAGTGGGGCCTGGGGGCTTGCGGCCTCTGAGGGACACAGGGCCAGGGCCTCTGCCCAGCACTCCCAACACACCCAGGACCTCTGGCTGACAGCAGAGCAAGGTTCCCTTCAGGTGCTGGCTCATCTGCACCTAGAGGAAGTGACCCATGGCAACCCCAAGCCACAGGGGACCTGTCACCCCCTCCTGGCCACACTCACTGGAAGTTCACTTTGTCCACCTGGAATCGCGTCTCGAAGATCCCCGAGGTCAGCACCCTGCATCTCAGCAGGTCCTGGGGAGGAGGAGCCAGGTAGGGACCATGAAGCATAGGAAGAGCTGAGAACTGGGGATCTGTGAGGCCTCGACCCCACAGGAACCCCACTATTCATGTCTTGGGCTGTCCTTAAAGTGCCAGCCTCTGGGGCTTCTATTTTCTCAAGGCATTTTAATTTAAAAAATTAGGGGCTTATCCTGCTACCTACAGGCCTCAGTGAGGGGTGCAGAGGCCCAGCTTGCACTGACCCAGAGCCCTGGGTCCCATCCACCTGCTGTTTACTTACCGGCTCCTCCCCTATGCCCCCAAAGGGACAAGGAAGTCTCTCATGTCACAGAGCTGGTACTCAGCCCTCTGGTCAGGTTTTTTCTTAGCCAGATCTCCTTGGAATCTATATCCTGACCTTGAGGGTGTGAGGTGGCCCTGTTCTCCACAGATGGAGGGCAGTTTTGGCCCCAGTCCCAGAAATGAGCAAGATTAGGACCCCAGGAGCCGAGGAGATGGCTCAGTAGAATAAGCTCTTGCCTGGCAAGTGCAAGGACCTGAGTTCAATCCCCCGTTCCACCAAAAAAAAAAAAAAAAAAAAAAAAATTAGGACTCTAGATTGTTCTCTAGCCATTTGGGGAGGGACCAGAGGGTGGGGGGTGGGGGGGGCTGTTTGAGGGGAGACACGGGGCCTCCCATGCCGCTTGGGTTTCACCTGGTTCTCTGACCCCAATACCCAAGAGTCCCTTTGTTCCTGCTCAGCCCAGGGAGCTACTCCTGGCCCCCTGGATTGTCCCAGGCCCGGCAGGAGGGGTGGCCTGCAGGTCAGAGGCTCAGGGACATTGAAGCCACATGGTACTGGCTGTGTGCAGAATTCTCCCCTCCCTAGCGGGTCTGCAGGGCTGGGCCTGGTGGCACATGCAGGTCAGTGCCACGAGGGCAAGAATGTGGCTGCTTGGGGAGCTTCCCCCTAACTTAAAGGCAGCCCGAGTGGTCCAGAGGGCTGGGGGTGCTCCTACCTGGTCTGTGGGCGTGTAGTCCACCAGGCTCACGCTGTCAATTCTCTCTAGGAAGCTGGAAGAGAGTGAGGTCAGGGGTCACAGTGCACAGGTGCTGGGGCCCGTGACCAGCTTTGCTTGCCCCACCCACTGTGCTTGGGTAGGGGACCCTGGCCTGCCCTTCTCCACCTCCTCCCAGACCTGCAGGGTCTGTGACTTCAGGGTTGGGCGGACTCTGGGCCTCCCCTCCTCAGCTGGCACAGGAGGGCACACTGACTTTATAAAGAGATGGAGGAAGAAAGGCGAGGACGGGAAAGGGGTGCAAAGGGAATTCAGATGCAGTCACACAGTGGCACCCCAGCAGGAGCGCTGCAAACGTGGACTCAAGGCTTGGAAGAAAGATAAGAAACAAGAATGGCAGGTGTTGCTTTGGGCCTCCGAGGCCCGGCAGGAGATGAGGCCACGTGTGCAGCCATGTGTGCGGCTGAGGTGAGAACCGAGTGTGGGTGAGGTACGTGTGCAGCAGTAGCCCAGCTCCCTGCAGACACAGGAGGAGCTGGTGGAGGCAGCGCGGCAGGGCCCTCAGTGGCAGGTGACTGGTGAGGCGTGGACATCTCCACGTGTGTCCTGTGTCCACGGCCTGGTCCACCCTACCCTAGAATGTGAGACCCAGTGACAGCCTTTGCCCTGTGGCTCCCTCAGGTCACACGGATGCCCTAGGGGTCCCCAGACTGAAGAGGCCAGCACTGGTGACTGCGGGCCACGGATGTTCTGTGCAAAAGGGGTGCTGGACCTCTGAGGGTACCTGTGACCCTCGCACTCTGGCCTGGGCGATGGGCTGGGTAGATGCCTGCCCTGGAGAGCAAGGTCAGCACTCAGGGCCCAGCCCGCCTGGGGCTCGCCATCATGTGGTCCTGGCCCTGGACAGGTGTGTGCTTGAGCACCTGTGCCCTCCAAGCCGGAGCCGCCACAGGGCCACTGGATGACCCACAGCATTCCATTTGTCACCCTCAGAGATGCTTATGAGGTCCCGTGGCCCAGGGCAACGGTTTGGCAGCCTGAGACCTTGCACACTGGCACGAGGCCAGCACAGAGGGCTATGAGGTGGCACATCCTTACCCTGGTGGCTCGTGTGTCCTCATGTCCCTGGCATTTGTGAAAAGGGGCGCACAGGCCGTGTGAGGGCCAGGGCCCAGAGACGGGCTTCAAAGGGTCTTAGGTGTCACACATGGAACTTCCACGTGACTGCAGTTGAAAGGGCTACCACAGAGCAGGCCACAGAGCGCTGAGCAGCGCGGTGAGGGGGCCTCAGAGACCACCGTGAGCGCTCCCCCCCGCGAAGGGCCCTCACATGATGAGAACAGCAGCCGGTGCCGGGGACAGCCGCTGGTCGCACACGCTAGAGGAAGCGGGGCAGCTTGTTTTGCTCTGTTTGTTACTGTTTCTGGCTTTATGCTTGCAGAAGTGCTTCTATCCGCATCAGCGAGAGCCCTGTGTCTGGTGCTGGCAAATGCGAACCACTACAACACCACCCCAAACATCCCTCAAGCCCCCAAATAAAATACCAGCAGAGCGTCACTGTTTATATCCCATCTGTGGTCGGCTTTCCCACTGCAACAACCCAAAGTCACAGAATCCTCATGGCTGCAGAAATGAATCAGGGACAGGGACACCAGGAGAAGGCGAGTACGGCTCCGCCAAACGCTTTTATCATTAGACTGCGGGGTCTGAGAAGAAGCACCTACTAAATGGAATTAATTTTTTTTTTTTCTTTGAGACACAGTCTATGTAGCCCAGGCTGGCTTTGAACTCACAGCAATCCTCTGCATTTTAAATTGTCTTGTGAAAAAATATCTAAGTTGAAACTGTCAAGGCAAGTAAAATGTTGCTCTGTGCTCCCACTATCTACCTCAGGATTCTTCCCTTCAGGACGGTACAGCATCTGCACCCCATGGTAGGGAGGTGCGGGCAGCCCCATGCCCTGGCCAGCCCTGCCCAGCAGCACAGAGCCTCAGCTGGGCCTACAGCAGCCCTCTCCAGGGCCTGGGGACCTGGGAACGGCGACTGGAGCTGTGCCCCCTCCACAGAACAACCATTCTCAGCAACCATGCCCTTCGCCTTGCGTGCCCCCCGCCACTCCTTCCCGTCACCTATCCCAAGGTCTTGCTCAGGCCCACACTGGCATTAAACTTGGGATCCTCGTGCCTCAGCCTCTTGGGAAGCCGGGTCTCCAGGTTGTTGCCACCGTGTCCATCCCAGCTTACACTGATCTTCAGTATTCATCTTGATGTTTTTATACCATGTCCTTTTTTCCATGTGCATGCCCTTGCTACTTCACTATACTGAATGGCACTTAAGAAGAGCAGCATGTTTATTTTTAAGCCTCTAGAGAGAAGCCCCAAAGCTGGTGTGTGGTCTGTTTTGGTTTCCATCCTTCAGTGTATCCTCCAGGGCTTGCTCACCCTGATACCTTTTAGGGAAGAGACTGCACAAACCCCAGGGGCAGGGGCCTGGACAAAAACGGAGGAGGGTGAGCATGGTGCGCAGGGACGGCTGTGCTCAGCACTCTTCTTACAAGAAAACCAGTGAAGCTTGTGTCCCTGTGCCAGCTGCCAGCCCGGGCTCAGGACACAGACGGTAAAGGTCCTGCCTGGCTTCTGGTGGACCTGCTGTCTGTTGGTACAAAATGAAACTGTGAAAAGCAGGCAGGCCTTTTACTAATTCTGGGTACTTAATTAAAAACCACAACTACGGAGGTCTCTTAAGTGGTTTAAGGCCCCTGGCGCATACCTTTGTGCTCCTGGGCCCAGGCCTCAAGCTCGGGACTGTGGCCTTGGGAGACACTGGGAGCACAGTGACAGGGGCTACTCCCTGCTGGGGTCCTGGTCTGCTGACCCGGCCTCTACCTGGTTGCTAAGGTGGTCAGGCAGTGCTGGGTGGAACCAGGGCCTGGAGCAAGCCGGGTGGGCTCTACACCAAGCCAGGCCCCACCCACAGTGCTGGTCTGGTCTTTTTAGTGGGCAGCAGCAGGGGCAGCCGGCCCTTCCAGCCCCGTGTCTCAGGCCCTCACACACCAGGCTCGCGCCTCTTCAGGGCAACAGATTTAGCTAAAGTTTTCCGGCTGTGACATCTGGGTTTGCCCTGGACTATAAGTACAGGACAGGAAAATATGTGTGTTAGTTCATAATAGTCTTTTCCTATTAACTCTCAACCCAGGTTAGAAACAGCATCTGAAGGCAGAAAACTAAAAAAGGACTCAAAGCCGGGCCAGTAGCTGAGGAAGACTGCACACTGCCTGCCCCGGCACCTTTGGGCGGCTCCCTTCCTAGCTCACTTCTGTCTGTGGTCGGGGTCGGCTCAGGCAGAAGAGGAGTCTGGTTGCTGAGAAGAAATGACTGCAGCAGCAGCAGCAGCAGCAAGGACAGGCAGGGCTCCTGCCAATGGGCGAGAAACCTTCACTCGCTGCTGCGTGGGCACTCTGGTGCTAGACTGAGAACACGTGCAAAAACAGACGTTTCCAGCCAAATCTATGGGTGACATCTTTCTTACGGGGTTTTTAATCTTTTGGGGGGGGCATGGGGTGCTAGGATCAAGTCCAGGGCCTTTCAAACGCTAGGCATGTCTTCTCCCCCTAAACTATATCGCCTGCCTCTAAGTAGCTTAAGGGGGATCCATGCTCAGATGCAATAACATGCAGCTTAAAGTGATTTATTTAACAAATTTCTGTAATTTTCATTTCAACACTGCATCAACTTCGAAAAGGAAGAAATAACCCACGGGCCTACAGTGCTTTTGAAAATATTTCATAAAAATGTACATTCATTTAGTATGAAATGAACATTTTAAGAAAGTTCAACCATATACAAGCATTTTTGCATCTCACAAAATAGACTTTTATGGGAATATATGCATTATACAATTATCAGGAGCCAACACTCCGCTATTCTGTTGGCTGTAATGAAGCTGTCCTGTCCCAAAGGCCTACAACACAGGCTGTACCCACACAGCTAGCTGCCTCTGTGTCTGCAGGCCACACGGCTGCAGCAGCCGGCTCCCTGACCACGTCAGTTAAGTGCGTGCTCACGCACGGAGCAGTCCTCAGCGGCACATACCTGCTGTTTCGCCTGTCCCTCATTCGCACTGGAAAACAACTTACAATGATGAACATGTGGCTGTGAAACTTTCAAAGAACTTGGAAGGGACCTGAGTACTTTCTCAAACATTGGAATTCTCTTATAGAGAAAGCTTCCAGCCAAAGGAGAGTTTAAGAAAACCTGTAAGTACTTAACTTAGATGAACAAACTTCCAAAAAAAGCGAGCTGCTGTTCTCCACGGGAAAGTGGTCAGTGACTTGCCTTCAGCATGCACAGCATGGGGGCGTGACCCTGGGCTGTCTCTTCTTCCAATCCCAGCTCTTCCTCCCAGCTTCAAGCTGTCTGGATGCAGACTCAAGCTACAGTATTTGCGTGGCTAAATAAACATTCCAACTTACATTTGTGAAATTTCTAAAGTGTTGCTTCAAGACAAAACAATAAACACAAATAATTAGAACTTCAAATGCAGTTCTAATTTATTTCTATTTTTGGTTGGTAAAATCAAAACAAAACCTATGAACAGTCGCAGGGATTCCCCAAAGCAATCAACAAGTCTTTGGCAACGTTAGGTATGTGAGTAAGAGCGCCACACTAGTTAACACACTTCATCAAGAGCTTAAGAGTGTTGACATAGGAAAATAGCTAGAAATCACCCAATATTAAACCTTCTAAGTCTTTTAAAAATTCTACTTAGTAAGTAGAAAATATAAACGAACATTTAATTTTTTCTGGTAAGTGAAGTTATGCGGCATTTTTTTCAATCACGAACTCTATCATCACATGAAAACTTTACAGAATGTAAACAGTATTCTGAAAAATTTCCTACGACAATTACAGTAAAAGTTATGAGAATGAATCAGTAGTTAACTGCAGTGTTGCTTTGATGACAAAAAAAAGTAAAGCAAGCGAAGGAGCACCAAGGTTACACGGAAACAGCACTGTGCAAGGGTTAGAGGAAGGAAGCGTTCACGGCACGGAACCAAACCGAACGACCCCCCGCTTCTTTTTTACCCGCCCCGTCACCCCCTGCACGGCCAATCACCCTGAAGTCACGAAGCCACTCCACTCTGATCACGTTCAACGGGAAATCTCGTGGGGTCTACGCCTGCGGCCGCGCGTCCACGGTCGCTCCAGCCAGCGCGAGCGGCCCTGCTGCTGGGCCGACAACCGCGCCGGCGCAGGCGGCGCCTCACACCTGGTCCCGCAGGCGCGCCAGCCGCTGCGACAGCTCGTCCTGCTCGGCCGCCGCCACGCTGGCGCCCACCGAGCCGCTCTGGCCCTGCGGCAGCTCCAGCGTGAGGTCCAGGCCCGCCTCGTCGGCCATCTCCTGCAGCAGCAGGTCCACCTGGCCCTGGGGCGTGGTCAGCGTCGTGGTGCTGCTCATCGTGTCCTCCATCTGCTGCGTCTGGACGTCGAGCGTCTCGAACTGGTGCTCGAACTTGTCCATCAGGGCGGAGATCTTCTCCAGGTTCATGGTCTTCAGCGTCGCGTCCATCGACTTGACCACGCCGGCCATGGACTTGGTCACCTTGCCCATGGTCACCGCCGTCTGCACGCGGGCGGCCACCGCGTCCACGCGCGCGCTCATCCGCAGGAAGTTCACGCCCTGGTTCTTCTGGCGGATGGCGTTCTCGGCGTGTATCCTCGCCACTTCCATGTTTCCCTTCTGAATGGCCTTTTTAATTTTGGCCTTTTCGGCCTTTTCTTCCTTGTCGCATTTCTTGGCACTCCTGCTCAGCTCTTTGGCAGCGAACTTCAGGTTGAACAGGTGTTTCTCCATGGTGGACATGGTCGGACGGCTGCGGAGGTCGGCGGCCGGGCCGCGGGCGCTCGCGGCGGAGACACGAAGCCGGGCTGTGCTGAGCCCGGCGCCGCGCCTTTGTTTTGGTCCCACTTCCGGCATCCAAGGAGAGCGGCGCAGACGGTGACGTCAGCACCCGGCGCCTGGGCGGGGCCTGCGTGACGGAGGCGCCGGCCACGCCCCCGGGCCGGCGCCTGCGCAGACGCTGCCTCTCGGGTCTCGGGCGCTGTGCCGTTTTAAAGGAGTAAAACCCGGAGTGCTCGGGTGCTTTCTTTGGGATACGTCTGTGATGCAGGCGGGACGTGCACAGACCTACACGTAAAATATCCACGGCTCAAACTCTACGGGCATATTTTTGGGGGGACTCGGGATTGATCCTAGAGCCTTTGCACTGCCTACACATTTAGTTTTTATTTCGAAGATTTTGCTTGTCAAACTGGACTGTGAAGTTCCTTGCATAGTTGTAAACCGTCAAATAGATGTCTCTCTGGTGCTGAGGTGCCAGGCTGGGCTGGAACGAAGCGATCCCCTGCGGCAGCCTCAGCCTCCCAGAGCCGCCTGGCGGGCTTCTGAGGGATCCCCACCCGCGCCAGGGGTTGAACTCCGGCCCTGCGCTTCCAGGCAGGCACGCATTCCACCGAGCCGCCTCCCCGGCTGTGGGGGCCAGACGCCAGCGCTGCACGGCAGGCTCCTCTGTGGCCCCTCCGCGGTCGAAAGCCTTTCTCGGCGATGGGCGATTTCCACCTTCTCAGGCCAGTTTGTTTCTTTCTCTCTTTTGTATTTTTTAAGACAAGGCCTACAGGGTGTTCAGGGGCTCACTGCTAATGGACTCCTGGTGATCCGCCTGCTTGCAGCCTCCCAAGGGCTGGGACCGCAGGTGGGCGCCAGCACGCCCGGTCCCGATTGCGCCCCGGCGCCCGGGGCGGCGGCTCTGCAGGCCCGGGGATCAGACCTCCAGCGCCCCCGCCTGTCTGCGGGTGCTTTAATCCGCTGAGCTCTTGGCCGGTCTCGAGCCAGTGTAAAAGCATGCATTAAACAAAACAAAATCGGAAAGCAGTCGCTGACCAGGGCCTCAGTGTTCGCCTGACCCCGCTGAGCTCTTAAGCGATGCCTGTTCCTGAGTGGACAAAGACGCCCTCGAAGCCCGGCTCCCGGCTGCACCCAGGCCTCGGACTGGGCTTTTAACAAAAGGCTGTCTGCTCCTGGCACGATTCTCTTTTTGATGTTTTATAAATATCCAGGGAACTTCACTCACAGTCAGACTTGACGCCTAAGCTGTCATTTCCAACTATGCAGGCAGAGAATGGCGCTGCGGGGACCCACACACCGCCAGGGAGAGCGAAAGCCTTGAAAGGTTCCCGCTGGCAGTACCAAGGCAGGAGGGGGCCGGCCACGTGGGTGAGCGGCCCTGAGGGACCTCGGGGTTGCTGGCCACATCTGGCTCTAGGGGCTAGTGCCAGCCTCCGATGGGCGCCTGGTGGCTGCGCCGCACCAGCATCTCCTGGGCACAGCCCCGAGGATGGCGCTCCCAGCTCTGCAGCCAGGCGGAGCCCCTGCTGTGCCGCTCTGCTGCCCTGCTCTGTTGGACCACACTGAGGCCCGGATATTGTCTTTCATTTGTGTCTCTTTCATTTGTGGCTGCGCACGTGTCCCTGTCCCGGCTCTGCCGCGAGGGTCCTGCCTCCAGCTCCAAGAAGCTTCCCAGGGCCCCCGGCTGCTGTGGTGTTCCGCATCCCTGCACAGCACAGGACCCCGAGCCTCCTGGACGTCTTGTCCCCTCCCAGACCGAGTAGTGAGCTCCTGCACCTCAGGCTTCTGTGTAGGCGCGGCGGAGGGGCAGCCTTCCAAACAGCACAGCTGAGTCCCCAAAACGAGGCTCATTTTCCAAATAAAACTTTCCCGAGAACATGATAGAGTGTGGGGAACCACTGGAAGGCAGGGGACTAGTGCTTCTCTGCTCTCCCCGCCCGCTGCTCGGGGGCCCTGGCTTTTCTTGCAGTTGGCCATCGGGTCCACTGAAGCCAGGAGAGCAGACCAGCGCTCCTAGCACTCCAGCCCGCAGCCAGCTCCTCCCTCGCTTCATTCTTAGCACTGGCGAGCCAACCGGTGAGCACTGAGCTACGCCCTCAGCCCTTTTTAACTTTTAAATTCTGGGACACCACTTCACTAAATTGTCCAGGCTGGCTTCAAACTTGTGATCCTCCTGCCTCAGCTGCCCGAGTAGCTGGGATTATAGGTGTGCACTGCCATACCCAGCCCAAAGCTTTTATTAACAAATTTTAATTCGGTGAGCTAGTGTGGTCCATAATCTCGAGCCCCTCCTTCCAGGGATGGTGTTGATGGCACCTGTTTGCCCACACCGTGCTGGGTACTCTCCACGTATTAGCTCCCCTGGTGCTTGCCAGCCCCCGGGTCCAGGCCTCCATCTGGTCTGACAGACCTTAGAAGGGCTGGACGTCGGATTCCACGGGTGTGGTGAGGACCCCAGTACAATGACCGTGTGAGAGCAGCGGAGGTCGTGCACCCTAAGGGACCTTAGCGTGGCAGGCATCCGTGGGAACTGTCAGAGGACTGTGCATGCCAGCTGCCAGGGAAGGGCAGCTACCTTGTCATGTGACAAAGGCCCCATGGCCTGCAGCTGCCCTTCCCAAGGGAGGGACACCAGGGCTGGGCAGGGTGCCGAGCGGGGGAGCCCTGTTTTCTGGCAGGGCAGGTGGGTCACGTGGGCAGACACTCTCAGCAGAGCAGGTAGTGCCCAGGCTCCTGGCTCCGCCTTGTGCGGTGGCAGCCCGCCTTCCTCACAATGTGTGTCAGTCTGCAGGGAGTTACCCTCACATTCATTCCTAAAGCAAGCGTTTGACTAGAGTGCCACACTCACAGACCCAGCTGTCCCCTGGGCCCTGGAGAACTTGTGCCACGCCATGTGGCAGCTCCCCAGTGGGACCCCAGATCTGCTCCTCTTTGCTGACCAAGGGCAGTGCCACCATCTGCCCCCCTTAACGTCCTTGGAGGCCACAGCCCCAGGCCCTGTCAGACCAGTCAGGTTCTTTTGGGTGTGTCTAGCAAAGGGAGGCTATATGGGCATTGTTATCAAAGGAGACTTTGGCCCCCCAATTCTGATGATGCCTGAGGACCTTCTGGACAGGATGCGGGCATAAACAGGGAATATCGTTCATGATTCCCAATCACAGCACTGTGAAGGACCAGTTGGAAAACTCTCCTTGAACGAAGAGCAACTGGCGGGGAAGATGGGTCAGTGGCACAAGTACCTACCTAGCAAGCACAAGGTCCCAAGTTTGATCCCCAGTATAAAACCCCTCAGCTGCCTTTACACAGTGCAAGTGGGCCTGGTGAGGTGTGGTTAGGAAAGCAGCACCCAGGGAGGTGAAGCCCTGAGGCCACAGCCCACAGCCCCAGGCCCTGTCAGACCAGTCAGGTTCTTTTGGGTGTATGTGTGAGCCACGCTGAGGGTCTCATGCTGTCGGCTGGGAATGAGTCTCCAAGTCAGAACTGAAGGCGCTGCCCCAGTCGTGGCTCCCCACAACTAGTGCCTTCCATGCGTTGCACTGGAAGTGGTACACTGGAATTAACATATTGAATTCCAATAAATTTTCCATGGGATTGCAAGTATAAACTCTGCTGGGCTTTAGTAGGTACCTGAGGGACTCCCATACATGGCCGCCTTAGGGTGCTAGAGCAGGTGGAGAAGTCTCTCTTAGTGAGCAGAAAGAACACCTTACTACTCTGAAAACATTTCCAGGAAGCTGTGAGTCTAAGCAGTTAATTACTTTAGTCATAAAGTGGAAAAGAAAAGCACACTACACTTCGGCTTCTCAGCCTATTTCTTTTTCTTTCTTTTTCAGCCAATTTAAGGTGAACTCGAGATGCCTGAAGAAGCGGCTAACCCTAAAGACAGAAAAAGAGGAAAGAAAAAGGACACACAGTGTACGTGTCACAGGCTGGGGGCAGCCGTGGTGCAGAGCAAGGCCCTGGCATGGTGGAGGGCCCTCCTCCCCTGGCTGCTCCCTGCTGGGCAAGTGCTCACCCCAGAGCCAAATGCCAGCCCCAGATCCACCCCCTTCACGTGGACACAGCTATAATTGAGAGCTGTGGGCTCCCCCAAGGCTGCTATCCCTCCCAGGCAGCAGCCGAGAGGGCCAGGGGTCACCACAGCTGGGCCCACAGACCCCATGTGGCCTGGCAGCGCCACACGTGGCCCAACACGGCCTCCTCTGCACCAACGACCTTTCATGCAGGGACACTGAGGACAGGCTCCATCCCCATCCCCTACATGGAGATCCCCCAAAAGGGTACCAGTGCAGCAGGGAGCTGTAGATGCCTTCGCAGGCTGTGGGCAAGGAGCAATGCCAGTGGTGCCAGCTTTTCCTAAAAAAGCAGCCTCTGAACGTCGCTGATTTGGCTTGGGCCCGACCCGCGTCCACCCCGGAGTGCAGAGGCTCAGCCTAACTGCGCATCAATCTGGGTAGGCCGGCTCTGCCCCGGGCCTCAGTCTCCTCACTCGCGCAGTCAGAAATGCAAGCTGCGTCTCTCAGAGTTGGCAGCGATGTGGACCCTGGGTCCTCTGCAGGGAAGCTCCCCTCGAAGCCTAGCAAGCTGTGCAGACCACTGCGAGTTTATATAGAAAAACTGGTTGAAAAGGCCCCTGGGTGGTCTGTGCTAAGTGTGTGTGGATCTCGCAGGGAGGTGTAGGCAGGCCCAGCAGAACAGAGGCGGCTGCCTCTGTTAGGAAAGAAGGCTCTGTAGAAGGCAGCTCACGCTCTGTGGGTGTCTGAGGACTTCCTCGAGGAGGTGGTGAGAGGCGCAGGCCCAGGTCACAATGTGGCCACTGAATTGTGCCTTGGAGTCCTCTCCTTGTTTTTTGCTGCCAATGCATTACATTATCTTTCCAAGACAAATTCCCTCCCTGCACAGAGACCTATTGCACCATCTGACTGCTGCCATGTGTGGCTTGAGGACCATGCATCTGAGGGCCAGGCTCCAGGCCAGGGCTGCTGACCATTCCCATGTAACTGGTTAGAACTGGAATATGAAGCAGATAGCCCCTCAATCAAACAGTATAGAAAGTCACCAGGCTATTCTGCTGTGTACTAAAC